AATTCTATAACTTCAAACGCTCATAAAAAATTATTGTGAATTTATGATCTACTTTATTTTTTAAATTACACTAATAACAACTTATAACTTATATATGAGGAACCTTTTATTAAATATTCAAATTTTTGACCAAGTGATCAATGTTTTTTCCACAGTAATAATTTTCAAAAAATTAATAAAAATGGTGCCTATAAATAGCTTAATATTCAAAATATTTTGAAAATTTTATCATGTACAAAAAATGTAAATATAAACATTTTGTGAAATTTTCAAGTATCTACGGTTATTTGTTTTTGAGTTAGGTACTTCGAAAAAAATAAAATCGATTTTGTCAAAAAGGTACCTACTGGTTTTGCGTAAAAGTTACTGTTTTTATTTTTGTTTTACACAAGTACACAACGCTTTTAAATAAGTACTAGGTGAGTTGCTTGTAGCTAGGTACTGGGAATTTTAAATCTTGACCTCTCAAATGCACTAACTAGATTCACTTTCTCACCAGAAAAATGAATGTTGAATATCGAACCATACACAAAAAAATAAATAAAACACCCATCATAATTTATTGTAATATTAATTCACTCATCGCTAGGTGCGTGACGATTGATGATTGATGATTTGTACAAATTGTATAACAATTACTGATGTGGTTTTTGAGTTGAATTTCAAACTTGCGGGTGCCAGCGTCACGCACCTCTCATCGCTTCGTTCAGAATATAAAATGTTAATAAACTTACTATTATTTTATTCTGTACTAGTATGCTAGTGAGACTCCCAAGTACTAATAATTTCACATTCTTTAAAATGTTTTGCTCAAAGTCTCAAACCCTTTGACTTTATTTATGTTGAATCCCTAAAGCCGGGGTTCGTCTTTAACTCGTCCGGTGATTCTTTCAGTAGGGAGACAGACGTCACGTATGTACTCACAATCGTGAAATCAATGAAACAATCATTGAAAAAGTTAAAAATCAAGTAGAGATTAAAGAAAAATTAAATTAAAAAACAAATCTATGTTCAAAAGTTTAAATATATAGGTAGGTAGGTAAGTAATATAGGTACCTACCTATATTAAATACAATTTAACTTAGGTATTTCTTAATATTTATATTATAATTTTCAGGCATTAGGTAACAATTATAATTTTTTTTATATTGTATAATATTATAATATATCCCCAAAATAAAATATTACATTTACTAATAATATTTTGACGATAAGCAAAATGTCAATATTAATAATAATTATTATTATTAGAAGTCGGTTTTACAAGTTTTATTTATAGATACAATAATTAAAAGATTATAAAATAAAAAATAAAAATATTTGGAATGATCGAAATGTCAAATAATCCAAATAGTTATCAAATAAATAATCAATGCATGTAGGTAGTAGGTTAGTAGGTACCTAATCTGTTAAAACGACCAATATGTTGTTTAAAATCGTGATATAAAACAAAATAATATTATTGTTAATTTTTGAAAATTATTTATTATATTTTAATTTTTTTAATATGATAATTATTGCACTAATTAGCTTTTAAAAAATAATTGATCAATCAATTTCATGTACCTATTATAGTTGTCAGTAACATTGTAGTCTGGGGGTTATTTTTACTAGGGTCGGAGATTTTTATTCCACAATTCACAGTCTTTATATAGTCTATACTTTAGTTCAGTGCATATTCATTAAAATTACGTAAAATAGTCTTACCAATATATAACTGACATAAATCGTTTCTTTCAAACAAATACAGGCATACAGCTAATGCTTTTTACTATATTTATCATAGGAAATATAAAATAATTGTAAAATTTAAATAAAAATTAGATAATTACATTTTTTTCGAAAAAAAAAAAGTAAGAAATACAGTTTAATTTTTGAAGATTTATGAATATTTTAGGAAACAAATGTATAATTTATTTTGCGGGGGCTATTACAAGTTTTGGGAGGGGATAAGCCTCCCCCTAGTTGTGCTTATGCTTGTCACGCCTAAATAAATATATAATATTAATTTTCAGTCAGTCCATTTCGGTCGGCCTATTATTATAGCATTATTATAGGTATACCGAATTATATATAAAGAATATAAAACGCGAGTCCGGTTATCAAATACTTCGTGCGCTTATAGTTAATACAATTATACCTATAATAAATAATAATGCTATATTAATAGGCCGACCGAAATTTGTGTGAGTGCTGTGTAAATAGCTCGATCAGCAGTGGACGGGATTTCCGAGCAAATACTGATGAGCTACGTGTATTATGAGTGTGCGGTGGTAACCAATACATTACATATTTATATAAATAATATTCATAATAATAACCAATACAAAATAATAATTTAAAGACTCACAGTTCGACGGTGCACTGCTGGCCAGCTCGTACCTGCGTCTAAATAATAATATTCAATAATGTGATTTTCACACACGCACACACAAAAATACTAAAAGGTTTACAATAATAATAAAACGGAAATTCTTGCCTGTGAAATATGTAATAATTAATAAATACAATAGTAATAAAAACGGCAATTCGTGCCTGCGAAATATTAAATAAATATAATAATATGGCAATTTTGTGCCTGTGAATTTAACACTAAAAATTAATGTTTGCGTTTACAAAAATAATAATAACAATTAACAATGTTGCGAAACATTTAATAAAAATACAAATTTGCAATTCATCTGTGTGCTGCGAGAACAAGATACAATACTGTAATGACGAAAAATAACTCAATACCTGTAGACTAAACCCGTAACATGAGACGGCGGTCGACCATGCATAAAATTAACATATTATATAATATAATTCACAATTTCGACAATAATAATTACCTATGATAAAATGTGCGTGATTGTAAGTGTTGTGTGTGTCGGCCTGCGAAGCCTGTGAGTACGGTTTACCTTTAATTTGAGATAACGCGAGTATCGGCGTTGGCGCAAACATATTTTATTTTATGCTAGTAAATACCTATTATAGCAGATGAATTTCCAATCTAGACACGCGGTAGAGTGTCAAGCCAAGTTCTAGCTAACAGAAATGGAAAGCAGCACCTTGTGTAATATTACACGAACCATTTGACCCCCTAATAACTCAAAAACTATTCCACATAAACATGTCAAATTTGGCTCATATATCGGGACTTACGAGATATATTATATGGTCTCCAAATTTCATTAACACACCTCAAACCGTTATATATAGTTATTAACAAATTTGGCATACATATAGGTAGCTAGGTGAATACAAAGGAAAAATCAGAAACTTGTACATTTTTAAATTTTTAAATTAATTGGTTTTATTATAATTTTTCAATTATTTGATCTATTATATTTAATTTTTCAATTAATTTATTAAGTGTCTCTAATTTAATGTAATGTAATACAATGTTGACTTATATAGCTCAGCTAACTTTTCCCGTATCACCTCGCCAAAAATACGACCAGTCGAATATGTGTCGATGTTGGCGACCCGCGGGCAGCAACATACTTTTTTTTCTATGTATATAATTAATATTAAGTTTCAAAAAAATTAAACAATTAAAATAATTAAATAATTAATCTTACGATTATGAATTACAAACCCACCAGTATAGTATGTATAGTAAATAAAATTATGATAATTAAAAATATATTCAAAAAGCGATAAAATAATTTTATATTAATTTTATATTTGATACTCTGTATACAACAGAAAATATTTTATAGTAAATATTATTAATGTTATTAACTGAATTATAGTAGGTATATAGTAATAGACTTTATTTATAGAATACGTCATGGCTAGGTTAGGTTAGGTTATAATAATTTACATACAAAAAGTATATCCCACAAAAAACATATTTGTAAAATGAGGGCTAAGTTCAATACTATAATATATAGGTATGCCTTGGTTGTTGACTTCAACGACAAAAGAAGTGAGATCTCAATTGGTGCCAAGTTAGGATGCCAAGTTAGGATGCCAAGTTAGGATAATATATTCAATATTGAAGCCTAAGGTCTGACTTGCCTACGAATTATATTATAGCCGTCGCAAGATCGCGAGTTTCGCAAGCTTTGAGATCTTATTTTATTCTTCCGAAAATTATCTTCATTCTTCCATGACTGTTTTAGTAGGTACTTATTAATAATTAATAATTCGTATATGAAAACTAGTCAAGTCAGACTATAGGCTTCAATATATTATCCTAACTTGGCACCCATTTAGATCTCACTTCTTTCGAAGTCAACAACCAAGGCATATAATATTATAGCATTGAACTTGGCTCTCATTTTACATATATGGTTTTGGTGGGATTACTAATTTACCAATTCATTCTGTGCGCGTTATATGAAATAATATTTTGGACAATTGAATACTATATTGAGTAGGTACCTACTAAGCTCCATTTTTAAAAACATGAAACGATTACCTATAATAATTTATTTTTAGGATTTCTAACAAAGGTTTATCATGAAAATGTATAAAAATAATATATAAATGCCCGTTGTAACATTCAAACATAATAATATATATTATGTTATTATAATCGTGTATTATAAAACATAGGTAATATCATTTTGCAAGTATTTTTAATATTTTATATTATTCAGAAAGACTAGGTATTTCTGATTTTATGACAAATTTTCGTATAAAACGAAAGGATATCGAATCCTTTCCAATGGTCATTCAAAAGTTCGTTAACAAAGCAATAGAAAAGTTCAATAAGAGTTCATGAATGAAACAATTTACAACAAAGTCGGAAACTTTTTCATCGTGCCTAGTGCCCACATAATAATAATAATAATAATATGTAGGAAGTGAGTCGAATGAGTCGTGACATCATTCAGCAGATCTTGCAGCTGCGTACTGTATTAATCCAATAATAAACACACAAATAGTTAACTAAATATTAATTATTAACACATCGATACATCGAATTTTTATTTACAACGACAATAATAATATATATATAATTATCTGATTCGTAATAACAACAATAACAATACGTATGTCAACATCGGTTAATTTTGCTGAGCATAATTGTCCAAAAAATAGGTAACCATGTTTCCTTTGCCTTTCACTTCGATGACACCACGACAAGTCAACGGGTATCCTTTTAGCTTCAATATTTCGTATACCTCGTCTGTCACCTGAAAAATTACATGGAATAATCAAAGGCATCGCAGAAACACGTGTGGGTTATTATCGCAAGTTTGGTTACGAATTATATTTATATTTATCCAGTCGGACATAATTTAATTACAGTTCAAAATAATTGTCTACGATTTATTTACTATGCCATAGCATTCCCCGTTTAAGGCCTATACGTGTTGAAGGATTTTTCATATTATTTCTTCATTTAGAAACATATTTACCAAGGAGAAATTAAAACGTCGGTTTGAATAATTAAACTAACTTACTTAATAACAATTAATATGAATATAAACTTAATGGATTGGGTGAATTTATCGAAACGTATATTAACTTTAAAATGAACTCCATACACGTAACTGTGTAATGATTTATGCCACGAAAAGACAATGTATTTTAATTTATTGTATCATCTCTCAAAGATTGTTATATTTTTACTTCTATATGTAATTTACCTTATTTTATAATATTGCTTAGTTACATAATATTATATATTGTTATATATAATCTAATTTAATTAAGACTCTAGTTTTTGTGCAAAGCGCTGTTGTGTACATATTTAGAATGAAAATTGAATTTTATTTCTATTAATAAAGATTTGTATTATTATTATTATTATTATAATATATTATGCCACTCAATATTATCCCGTAAATAATAATCCAAAATTGATCCTCTGCGATATCGAACGTGTTAAAAGAAACACAGGTTTTCTACAGTAGATATACCTAACGACGTGTTGAAAATTTAAAATACTTTTTTTAAAAGATTTACTTGTATTTTATCCAACACTCCGGTCGAATCCATCCGGCTTGCCACGTTCACAGCGTTGCCCCAGATGTCGTACTGAGGTTTTCTAGCTCCTATCACTCCTGCCACCACAGAACCGATATTTATACCTGCAGGTCATATACAATAAAGGTTTAAATTAATAATTAATTCATATATACCTTTTTTTATATTTGTCATCATGACACTCTGAAATTTCTTCAAACAATAAATTAAAAATTATACTTCTATTTATATAATTAAATATTTGATAAATTACATACATAAAATGTTTTTTACATCTATTTCTAAGAATTTTGATTTGTAAGAAAACTATTGTTACCTATGGGTTTTAAGTTATTTTATAATTTAATCGTTTTTGTTCAATAGTAAACTGTTAAACTTTTCGTCATAATTTTTTTTTTCTATTTTACGTTAGAAAAGTTGACTTAAAGAAAAAACAACACTACACTCTGCTTTAATATCATCATTCATCAACAAATGACCGATTACGTGACATCGTTACAATATATATATCAGGGGTGGTCGTACTTGTTTTGATTAAGATCTACTGAGGGTATATTTTTTCTTTTAGGATCGACTAATTTAAAAAATTATTTAATATTAATTATTAATAATAAACATACTTATATAAATAATAAAATTAAAGTTTTAAGTTATCTAAAATGAGTGTTTCATGTTAAATTTTTAAGTAATTTTAAAATGTATTAACATTTTATTGTTGATGTAGAACCGTGTCATTGCACATCATGACACAGCGAAGACGCTGTGCTAAAGTCTAAAACTAACCTACTCAGCTTCTATAAATTATAACTTTCATGTGAGAAAATGCCATTTCACACTAACAGGTTAATCTGAAACATATGTATTTAATAAGTGTATCTACTAAATTTCAAATATATAAGAATAATTAATAAATTCTAACAATGGGGATCGACTTAGAAATCGTCGAAAATCGACCAGTCGATCGCGATCGACTGTTTGGCCACCCCTGATATATATAAACATAGTAGTGCTCAGACTTTGTCCACAGGGGGCTCCTTAAAAATGTCTGAACCAAAAATTCTTGTACTAATAACTACCGTAAAAAGAGGTGATTTCGGACATGTGCTATATGATCTTCTTTTCACTCATTATAACCATATTTTATTTACTAGATAGGTATAATATGTAAAAGTTTAATGTAGGTACCTAGGTAATAAGAATTTTCTGTATTTTTAGGTCTAAAATATTGATCATTTGTAATTACTATTTTAACTAACCTATGTGTATACCTAATATAGCGTATTCTAGAGTATTCTGTAATAATAGTAAATCATTTAGTCGATGATAACTGATTAATTAATAACTTTATTACATTTACATTTTACTCACAGATATATTCTATACTATGAGATTAAAACTGGCTTCACTTTTTTCATGTAAAATGTACTATTGCTATTTAGTATAGCATAGATATCTATGTATTTATTAATGAAAAATCCAGGGACCTATGTATGTAGATATCGAATAGGAGTTTTACGATTAGACTGTTAAATATTATTTAGATAGCATTATAGTGTTCCAGCAATATACTATATTATGTGCCATGTGGTCACTTTATCGTTGGGAATTTGGGATTAAGGATCTATTTGTACTATCGACAGCCATTGTCGCGTGCATTGAGTAGGTAATAGTGATATAAAACAAATAAAATGTGTAGGTATTAGCCATTAGGTAAGTATAGTTTTGTAGAGTTGTTGTTACGTATAAACTATAAATACCATTCGATATAAATGTGGGCAGTATTTAATTCACTTTGCCCACTTGAATATCTGGGCAGAGTATACTTTGCCCGGGAAATGTATAGACAATATTTGAGTATTAAAATTATCATTCTTACATTGCCCAACATTTTCAGGCATTGTACATAGTGCCCGGACATTGCATAACAGTGCCCGGATTTCCTACTTTACGTGTAACATACATGAGTTAGTACGGCTCTCTCAGCACAAAATTCGGCTAATAGATGGCGCTGTAATATTGATAACTAGCCAACTAGGTATATATATTTTTATTTGTTAAATGTAGGCACAGATTGTTTTATTATTATTATTATAAATATTGGTTCAATAACGCGTTATGCCAATCGTAATTATAATATTAGGTAGGTATTATAATATAGTTTTAGTTTTTACCGATTTTGCACTATCTTATAAGGCTTTTGATTGAACAGTGTACGGTGTACCTATACAATGGTAAAAAAATAATAGTTTTCAAACTCGCGGCTGTTCCAATTAATGTAATTACATAATTGCATATTATATTTTATAATATAGAATAAAATTTAAATTTCGTAATATTATTTTAACTACCTACCTACTTGATTACTTGAAATCTCATAAAACAAATATTATTTTTAGCTGTTGTTTGAAAGCAATCAAATCCGAATTCAACAGTGTTATGTGCACAGAGCTGCACAGATACCTAGTAGGTACCTAATACCTATCTTTCGTTTATCTGGAAAATTCCCATGCAAACTGCAAAGGACTATATTATTATAAATTTTAATACATAAATATATTATTATTCACCCATACTACCTACGATGTAGGTAATTCGCAAGTAGATAACTCGTGAAAATTCAAACAGTTAATGTTAATATATTTATTAGGTGATACAAACACTGCATATTAAGTAATATTTATATCATGCTGTAAAGATTTCTTTGAAATGCACTAAATTCATGAATTTTATAGAGTGATCTAAGTATTATAACTGACCAGATATTGCAGTTATGTTATTAGTAGTTTTTTGTGATTTTAAAATAAAAATATTTTTTTAAATTGTAGAATTTAAAACGAAAAGTCTAACATTTTACTATATTTCATATTTTCATAATAATTTATTTTTTACTGTTTTTAGATTGAGTAATTCTTAATTTTAAATTAGGTACTCGTAATAATATTATACGTATATTGAGTAGATGATGTCCATTATAAAACGTTAATGTATAATTACCAAAACAGACTAAAAGTTTTTTCTCAATTATATAAAATTTAAGAGCATTTAAAATAATCCAAATGTAATTATATATGGTTTGTAATAAAATAATTGTTGAAACTTTTGTTACAAGTTGCAGAATAAATTTTTTATACTTGGGTATTTATTACCTGGTTCGAAGCATTTAATATTTATATTGTTTTTAATTTTAAATAATTTGAAGAGTTTAATGTTGTTAATGTTTATGTAATTAATAATAATTTTTCCAATGCTCAATTTTTCTACCGGGGGTTTTTTTTCCAAATAATTTATATAACTATAGGTACCTCCTAATGTCGAGGTAGATTATTTTAATTCCGATTACCCTGTTCATCACCCTCATGTAGTCTCTATTGGAACTTACCGATTCTGATGCGGAAATTGTTGAACGAGTGTTCGTTGACGTACGCCAACTGCTCGCGGAGTCTGAGCGCGTAGTCGGCCATGGCGGTGACGTGCGAGTACTGTTTGCTGTCGGACGTGTTCCTGGTCAGACCGGAAGCGGCCATGTACGTGGCACCGGTCGACTTGATTTTCTCGATGCACTGGAAACGCGGTTCGCTGAGCAGCTCGTCGAAGTCGGCGATGATCTCGTTCAGCAGTCGCAGACACTCGACACCCTCGTTGTTGGCCTCCAGTTCGACGTAAAATTCGGAGAAGTTCGGTATGGACGCGAACATTATGCACACGCTGTCGCACTGCTCGTGGTATAGTTCCTGCGACAAACCGGAAGTTGTTTACAGGGTGCACACCATACAACAACGATCGTTATAAACTTATAATAATATAAAAGTATAATAATTATGATGCTCGAGTAGCGCGGATATTACGTTTGAGCACATACCAGGTGACGATTGACGGCATATTCTCACCTCAGAGTATTATATTAATACAACTACCTATACCTAATACATAGCTGCTGCGTTGTCGCCTGTCGGGTTATATCTTTGGCCAGTTTCATCTCATTAATAATGTACAATATATACAAAATTATAATATGTATGTACCTACTATGTATTATAAATTTTGGTATATTACAAATTATAAACATTATACCTACCAACACATTAGAAAAAATCATATTCCTATATAAACTATAGCCGTCTATAGTCATGAGTATAACATGTGAGCTGTAAAACTTTTGTGCACTTTAAAATACTTTATCTTGAAAAAAAACCATTTAAAGATAGCTAATTAGTATCACAAGACCATTATCATTGTTTTTTGCGAAATAAAAAAATATTAAGTTCTTAAGATAATGTAAGCTTAATCATGTTTGTTTTCTCTCTCTCAGACCCATGCACATTGATAAAACACGTACATTTATATTAAATCATAATTTTACGATTTTTAAGTAATCTTAGAGTAAAATCACTTATTAAAAAATTATAGAGGATAATATTTTTTAGGGTTTAATATATTGTATATTGTATAATATAATATTGTTATTTGACTTAAGATAAGTTTTAAAAAATAAAATATAAATTTAAATAGGATATTAAACTTTTTCGGGACAATATTTAGACAAATTTATATTATGTTATTCACTCAAAAATGTTTTTCTCTATAATTTTTGTAATGGGTGATTTTACTTTAACATTACTTATAAAATATATTTTTCAAAAAAAAAAAAACGTGAAAAGATTAATAAATAGGAAATTCAGCATCAAATAAAATAAATATTCACTGGTCATAATGGGTTATTATCTTAGTACAAATAAATATTGATATCGGTACCTTTTGTACTTAATTAAAATTATCTTTTTCTTACGTAAATTATTATCATGAGTTGTTAATCTATTAATCAATTATAACATAAAAATACAAGATTTAAGAGTTAATATAGATTGCAATATGTTTTGTGAAATTCACTCGCAATTGTACACTTTTTAAAACGTCAATACATAAAAGGTGCGCAATCGGTATTTTATTCTGTACGGCTTCAACGTTATGATGTTATACGTGGTGGTATATTATGTTTAATGTTTATAGCTACATCAAACGGTTTGCTGATAACCTAATACCTAAACAAGAAGTATAGACTGTGATCGGACGAATGTCAGTTTTTCGTAAATCTTTACCTACGCCAATCGTTTAAATAAGTGAGTAAGTGACAATACGAGTGCCCGATATTTCATTCATAATATAATGGTATATTTATTGAAAACCTCGCAACGCATTATCTACAGGTTTTGTACTCTTTGTTTTTATTTAGCAAAGTTAATGTTTTAGCTTCAGTTTAAATAATTTTAGTTTTAATTGAATGCATTTTAAATTCCTAGCTACCATACATACAAGTATACAACGAATGAATCGTCTTTAATCTTGCGGAATGGACGAGACGCATACGGATCACTTATATTTCATAAATTAACTTGAATCGATTTTAATAAATAAGCCACGATACGCGAGTCCGTGATTTCGTTCATATTATAATGGTATTTTTTATTTCATCGAAAACCGAGGTGAAAAGCATTCCATATAGGTACGTTCTTTTGTACTTTTGTTTTTATTGGCGAAATTCCTTTTTTAGCTTCAATCATTGCTTGTTGTTTCTCTAGATACCAAATACTCATCTTTAAATAATTTTAGTTTGAATTTAATACATTTTAAAAACTACACACAACTAATAAACCATCTTTAATTCCAAGGATTGGATGCATACGGATCGCTTCCCAAATTATAGTAATTATCCTTTTTTTCCACTTGAGAAGCGTTCTACGAAGGCAATTTTCTGTTCCCTATACAGGTAATCCGGAAAAGAGTCCAACCTGTGGCCGGTTTTGCGGAATGCACTTCATACAAATCATGAAAAACGAATTCGGGTTTGTCCGATGTTATGTATCTAATTTGTCGGGTCAAAAGAAAATTCTTATTAAAGAATGGTGTTTGACTTTGGTTGTTATAAATGACGATATTTAACGAGAATATAAAACTTATCCCGATTTTTCTAAGTTTGTGTAAGTGTAAAATATAACACGTTAAAGCAATCTTTATTTTGGCTTAATTTGCTTGACTATTTGAAACATTAATGTGTACCCAGTCAATAGTACTCGATATCAAAAATATCAATCCGTCAATTAAAGTGCACAACAAGTGGCTTAAAACAATAGTTAAGTGGTATATTATAAATGGTTTTCTAAGGGAAGCTGTGAAAGTGGCAACTCGATTAACCTTTTATTAAAATAATTTTAAAGGAAATTTGGAGGATTGTGAAAATAATGCTATAGAGGCGTGTACTGCCTATCTGCCTAAACCATTTTTTAGTATAAATAATTAATTACTGGCCAGTGCCGTTAAAGAGTTTTTGCTAAAATAAGGTTTCGGACAATATAACTTTTATAGTACCTATCAAGCTTTTTTAAAATGTAATTAAATAAATTAGCCATCAACGAAGTATAAACGAAATAATATCATCTGTAGAAACTTTTGGGAATATTTTGGTTGTACAGTTTTGTAATAATTTTGCAAATAATTCAGTTTTTATTAACATTTTTGATTGGTTTGAAAATTAAATACAACATAATAAAAACTTGAACCTAAAAACACTATTATAAAACACAACAATTATTTTTTAATAATATTAAAGTGTTATCTTATCTTTTTAACCCATTTTTTGTTATACATTTTATAAATATATTCTCGTTAAATTTGACATGTAATTTTATGGATAGTTGTACGACGTACGTATTTATGTACAATAATATACAATATTGAACATTTAGGTAGGTACGCAGAATACGAAAAAACTTACTCGCCGACATTTTGTAGTAGGTACCTATTACATTTTTACAACAAAACTTTTGTGTTATTCAAAAGTTAGACTCAGACACCATATTTTTACCTGAAGGGCATTCGTAATTAAAAATAAGACTAATGAAAAAAAGTGTCACATCCATCCCTTATATTATTGTTATTTTGTAGACAAAAATATTACTAACGTCTACGGGTTTGTCCAAAGTCAAAAAATGTTCGGCAACATGAACCGGCAGAATGTTTGCTAAAAGTTTACGGTTATAAGCTTCTAGATGTTCCATATCTTCTTTTTCCTCTGAAAATTAATTAAAAACAAATGTCGTTCAATACATAGTATATTATAGGCATTTCCACGATTAACAACGGACAAACAATTACTCACCCGTAGCTTGTAATTTCCACAGAAAATCTAGTCGTGAAGTGACTTCAGTCTGCTGTGCTTGTAGAATTAACGCAACAATCAGCCCCAGCATGACGACAAACATGAGTATACGAATCCAAAACGATTCTTCTATTGGCCTGTGTGGACAGATACAATTTTTGAGTGTTTTAAATGTTCCGAACGTTAATAGGTTATACTCGAACGAAATCGATTAGGTATATCTATAATGCGTATGGCTATATTTAGTAGGAATTATATAAACATGCAGCAATCGACATTTCGATCATAAATTATCAGTCATCAGTCATATACAATAGTTATAGACTACAACAGTCAATCATGATATTTGGGTGATATAATATTGATAGTAGGTATATTAAACTAACATAATCTATTATAGTAGGTATATGCGATTGCTTTGACAACTTCTGAGAGCAGTAAATCGAAATCATCGAACAAGGTAATCCAAAGTATTTAGACCTGCGGTATGCTGTAGTATTTAACTTATGAATTTCAAGTACCTAGGTACCTACTATTATTTACTTTTTAGTAAATTTAAAGCTCGTGAAATTCGGCCAGTGTTAAATACTACAGAATTGTCTGGTTTTTTTATTTGTATACTTTCTAATTAATTAGCAATGTCAATTGACAATTCATATACAGATCATTATTTCAGTTTTAAGAATAATAGATTTATAATTTTTTTCTTGGTCAGTATATTTACTATTAATTACTATTTAGAAATAAAAATATACCTAACACAGTTTTTAGACTAATTTTATTTTTAACTTCCCCGCATTCTATCTATATACAATACTTGCTGTGTTTTGTGACCGTAAAAAGACTTATAAGAAAATATACTAAACATCTTTTAAGTAATTTCTCTACTGAAATAATTGTGATTTATTTTGGAACCATCGAACCAATTTAATGTAATATTGTTGGTTTAATCATCGTTTTTAAAATTTCAAACAGGGTTCACTGGAAGTATAGTAGGTATAGTACTTAATTTTTGGAAGGTACCGGAAATTTGTTTTTTGTTTCATTTTCGTTGACAAGTAATAGTAAAATATACTTTGTGCCTATGTATCCTACTGCATTGACATAATATATTCTCTTCAGAAAAATATTGGCAATTAAATTTTTAATTTAATATCAAGTTAAACACGAACCTTTAAAAAATATCTACCTACCTATTCAAAGAAATAAAAATAAGTCAGGCATAAAAAGTAATATAATGGGGACTCAAAGCTTTTTAAGTTCAATAAGATATAACAAAAATAAAAATAAATAAAACGAAATGTATACGTAGATTAGAAAAATAGGGATGAGATAATATAATGGTAAAAATATTTTCTTTGAAGTATTATAACGAAGATAATAATTGTCCCTCGCGGCCATACCTTATTATTGGACAGTGGATTTTTGCAAAATTAACTAATAACATGTAGATTTTAAAACTCGTTTATTCAGTCGGATATTATCTGTGACGAGTCTTCTTAAACGACAAAAAGATATTTTCATAGCCATCTTGATAGCCAATACTCCTAGCACAACACGATAAAAAGTCTTTGATTTGTGTAGTAAATCACAGAGTTTCAATATTCAATTTCAAAAAATGTTTATACTTTTGGACACTGTTTTCAATTGTCTAGACTAGCTATGTGATCTAAAACACGACTGTAATTTATTGCATAGTGTCATAATCATGTCTACATATTTGATAATAAATTTATTTGAACTAATTATTTTTTTTCATATATGTCAAAATATGTATAAAACAAATATATTTTTAAGTTTAACCAGTAATACTGGATGGTAAACAAACTCCAACTTGTCAGCCAGGAAAAATGAAATAAAACTTCTACTTCGCAATGTCTTGTTTGACATATTTTTATTTATTCTGTGAAAAATTAAAGTTTTAGTTTCTAATTATTTTTCCGGCTTTACATATTTATTTGGTATAAGTAGGTATACCTACCTACTTTGGAAAAAATGCTCTAACCGTGTTTATTGAAATGTTGAATCAATTTTATGATATAAATAATACATAAGAACTTAAATATTAAATTGTCATTTTATATCAACATAAAGAACTCTTTACCACAGCTAATCTAAAAATAAGCCAAGTTTTAATTAACGTGCCATTCCGTAAAATAAAATAAAATATCATAAAACAGAATAAACATTTTCCTCAATTAAAACTGTATAATATGATGTACTATACTGTATTAAATATTACATCTCTTAAGAGATTTTTCTCTTGTGTATATTACTTTGCAAACTATTATATACTTTAAAGTTTAGGTACTACTGATTACTGAATAACGTGGCCGGGATGGGCCTAATTACAATCTTAGTTATTCAGGAACAGTATTTCAATTTTTTATGGATAAGTTGTGAGTAACTGGGAGTTTGAGTACTATTTCGAGAAATTTTTGGTTTTTGTCAATATAAATACACGATTGGTTTAAAATCCTATAACATTATTAATTAGGTATATTATATTTGAATTAGTAGTCTATGATTTGAATATGGTTGTAAATTAATGTTTTCTTTAAGTGCCCTAGTGTTGACGATGAATTAACTACGCAGTGTGCCATTTTAATAATATATAATAATTTGAACGGAGACTGAAAATGTCAATTTGGCATTTACTGTAGTACCTATATTATATATTTTAGTGTTTCATTCCTGTAAAGGATGTAATGAATGTTACATAGATATTTGCAACAGACACATATTTTAAAATTTGAATGTTTTTCTAACAACTACACCCAAATAGCGCTTAACTGTTTTTAAATTATGTAATAATTTTGACTTAACTGGAATGCGACAATATTCAACTGATAAAATATGAAAAGGCACTATTATTCAATATATAGGTTCGAATCACTTACCTGTTGTTTAGAAACATGCTGGAAAATATAAAATAACAAGACGATATGAATATCAACAGGGAGAGTTTGACTAGACTGATGAGCACCTGGTACACAGCAACCAATATCATCAGGATGATAACGCACACGGTCAAGTACTGTGGAAAAGTATAAAAACCGAAATGTTACAATAGGCTATAAAGTAGTGTGGTACGAACGGCTACATAATATTTTATGGACCATTAAAATGTGCCATTAGATTATTACGTTAAATAAAAGTTGACAAGTGCTCTCCCGCATGTTCGGATCTTCGACGACCAATACTTCGGTGGAGTTTAGGTTTGGTTCGTTGAAGCACACCTCCAGTTTGTGTATGATCTGAAAATAAAACAACGACAAGGCGGTCGTGGGTTAATCGCGCCATGCCCATAGCATCGTGAAGTCGACCCATTGTCTATAGCACGGCGATTATTATATTATAATATTATAATTGCGTATAGGTACCAGCGGCGTCATGGAAGTCAAAAAGCAACAGACGATTATGGCCAGGGCCAGCGTTTGAGCTATGGACCGGTTCTGGTTGATTGTCTGCGACGCTTTTTTCAGCGGTTCCGTCATTTCCTTAAACAAACAGAGAGTGTAGTACACAGTAGAATATTGTCACGTCGTCAGCCCTAACCCGCTGATAAATGATATAATATTGTATTATGATGTTTATGGCAGGCTTACACTTACCATCAGGCGATTGCGAAAGATTACTGCCGCCGACAGGACGATCGTCAGCCATCCGACTATTAAACATCCCAGTAACAAATAGGATCTACGAAAAATGAGAAACAAAAAGCATATTATAATAAACACTCTGCGCTATCGACGTCGTGAAGACGACGAGAAGTCCGGTCGCGCAGAAAGGTGTCGACGATAGAAATATGAAGTGTTTGGCGAGAGGACGAGGAGCTTTATGATAACATTGTATGATGATCAGTGGTGTATTTATGGGGGGGGGGGTTGTTTGGAATCTGCGAAGCTCCCGCCGTTATGCATATTGAACTTTTTTTTTTTTTAATTATAAATTACTTAGATGTTAGATTACAGACTTTACAGTTATAACGTGCAAGTGTGCAACTAACAGTGTTAATTATTGTAGACTGTATCTATTAGCTATCACAGATTAAGTAAAATTTGTTTTCATCCCGGAGTTGCTCATATCAAGACGTGCCGAAGAGCATTATTATCAAAATAGCATCCGCCATAAAAAAAATCTTAGATTTGCCACTGTTGATGACACATAGTATACTAATATACTCACAGTGGTAGAATTATCACGTGACCTGCGGTGATAGCCGAATATATACACACCGTACAAGTCATGTAGGTGTAGAGCATCCGATCGGGCACTTTGCTGTACTGCGTAACAGACGAGATAATAATATTATAACGATTAGTTCGCGGCGTATTATATTATTATTATTATCGTCATTGAATAATAATAATATTATGTATCAGATCAGTGACCTGGTCAGCCGCTGTCCACTATAGTGTCATAACATTGTAATATATACAGAGTGTAACAGATAGAACTAACTTTTGGAATAACTTTTTTTCTAATCAATATTACAATTTTTTTTTATATATAATTTATAGTCACTCGCCCAACACTTATTATACTAGACAAAAAGTTATAGTTATTTTTAACACTGAAAATAAAGTATTTTAAATTTGATTTAAATTTTGGATATATTGAAAATAGCCAATTTGTGAATCTGATTATAAGAACAATTTTGATAGTAAAAATATTTATCTAAGTCAAGTAGTTTAATTTTTAGAATTTTTTTAAATATCAATATTTTTTTGATTTAATGCATTTGGAAAATACCTAATAACTTCAAAATATTTTTTCAGGAATTTGCTGACATGAGTACAGTTCTTAAATTATTTACTAACCATATAATAATTTTAACAATTTTTGTCATACCTTTAAGTAGCATCATTTTTTTTTCCTCAAGTCTTGCTGTTACACCCCGTATATTATGATATTATAGGTCTTGCATTATATTTATATAGGTACTTACGATTTGTTCGATGTTGGTGTCTCGGAATTTCAACGTTATCGGATAGCAGTATTGCGATTTGAGACGATCGATGCTCCGGGCGTCGATGGCACACAACAAGTATTCGTCCACCTCGCCGTGATTCAATTCGGGTTCGTCTTTGCTGAAAACAAAAAGAAAATAAGCTTTAAACAACTCGACGCAATAACGAATTATCGTATAAAAATCACAACAACAACGCATTACGTTTACGTTCTATTTTCTCATGTAGGTATTATCTATATCGAGGTAGTCTTATTAAAATATTATGTAATATTAACGGAATTTCCACAGGTATTTCACTATATAAATGAAAAAACCGGAAAAATATATAGATAAACTGCCGACTGTATCCGTGGGTGTTTCGTATATTATTGCATTTAGACTATAGTATTTTAAATATTTTAATTTTATAAATAACTAGCTGTATTTCCTAACTTCGTCCTGGTTAAAATTTATCTATCTATCTATCTACCTATATATCTATCCATCTATCGTGTTCAATTTCTCAGTTATAATATTAATCATCGTAATATTGTATTGTATCTATTATAATATATTTCAACTTGAGCAAAACGGAAACAATATAGATATTATATAGATTTTTAACCTGGATGAAGTCTGATAATTCAGCTAGTATATATTATTAATAATTATATACGTATTAAATAAAAAGATTATTAAAAAGATTGGAACTTGGAACAGTTTTATAATAATATATAATATATTATACAAGTTCACTGAATTAAAAAAAAGATACTGGCGTGGAATGTCTCGGCCAATTAAATTGTTATAGTTATTAGTTATTAGTTATTACTTATTAGTTATTAGTTATTACTATATACATCTGCCTGAATGGCTGGGCGTTTGTAGGGATCTAATATTGAGCGTGATCAGCACGTTCTAAAAAGTTTATTGCCTACTGGCAACTATATTACTCATGGCATACATGCATGTAACAAACTTCAAGAGAATGACAAAACTTTTAAGAACTAAGTAAGTACATACATATTTTATACGGAGTTGAACTTCTAAATGATGACGAAGCATCAAACAAGTTCTACTAATGAAAATCATACAATTCATTTCAAGTTCGGTTTCCACGTTGTATTCACCTTTGCTTGTGTAAAAGACTTAATAAAACGTTTCATACGCAATTCAGCAGCATACACTAGAGATTGCATTATTTACCAATTATATAGCTTAATACTTTAAATTAGTATTAGAATAAAATAACATCTATCTAGTTAGGACATGAATACATTTATTAGGTCATATTACGTTTTGTATCATCGTTTCATTTAAAACAACCGATATCCAAGAATATTATGTTATAGCAAAAAGTTTATCGTATACAATATATTTTATGGTAAGGCTTTGTTACTCTGTACGGTTGTATAATTGTGTTCGATTTACAGAAGCGTAGGTATTTCCAAAGGCCAGCGAAGTGTTAACTTTTAGTCTGCACTGATGTACTAACAGAAGTGCTGACTCTAGTCATCTGTGGGGGTGGAAGTTGACACATTAATTTGATATATCGATAGTTTACGCGTCCACAGGCCACAGCTCATCGTGATAAGCGTGATAATTTATAATTTGTTCACTATATTCCAGGGGCGCCGAAGTCCATGCTGACGTCGGGCCGCGGCCCGACCTCTTTTTTGAAAAATGTGGCCGGCCGGCCATATTTAATTTACATCATAACTTTATTATAAGCATGAGTAAATTTAAACCGTGATTATGAATAAATTTATATTAAGGGTACCTCTATATTAAACAATTAAGATATTGAGGCCGGGAAGTTTTAAAATAGCCCGACCACATTTTAAAAACTTCAACGCCACTGCTATATTCTATCACGTTATTTTCTAGTTATTGTATCATTAACTTATGGTGAATACACGGTCTGAGTAAAATATAGAATTCAACTAAAACATACGGTATAATAAGCGTTAAAACTTAAAAGTAAGGTATTAAGAATAAAAATGATGGTTAACCACTGAATAGCGACTAGATAACCACATGGTTAACTCAACCACAGTTCTAGAATATTTTTCGACAAGTCACGTTTTACGATGAGCTGTGAATTCGCTTTATATTGTTATATAAACTATAAATTATAATATAATGCGGGCGATCAAATTTCGTCCATATTGTGGAGAAAAGCGGCCACGAAATAAATTGTATACAGGTATTATTTACATAATTAGGCATGGTGATAATATAGACTATTTAGTGCTTAAATTTATATAGGAATATAAAAAAAATAATTTCGATTTATATCGACTGATGACGATCGTTCCTAATTCATCGAGATTTACGATTACTCTCCACTCTACGTAAAACACGATTAAGTACTTTGTATAAATATAAAATACTCTTAAGTGTCTAAATATTAACTACGATATATATACAGTTATGAATAATGAATAAAAGTCGATAGAAAAATCAAATAAAAATACACTATAATACTATATGTAACATTACAATAGATAATAATATAAGGATTAATAACTACAACTATAAAACCGTGAATGTACATTTGTTATTTACGTATACCATTCGTACCTATTTCATCATTGCCATAGGTATATAAAATATTTGTATAGGTACCCAGAGTTACATAAATCACAAGAGGACGTATAAAAATAATGTTGCACTACAAGTACAGGATTTTGGCATAACCATCATCATCCAGAACTGCTAAACACGCCCTCGACTCAAATGTATTATTTCGTATAACCTATATAATATTATTATTTTATTTTCAGGTACGTGCGCCATGTAAACTAACTAATTTTGAAACCCACTCAGTTCATTGTACTCAACAAGAAAATACAATATTTAAACAGCACTTATAGGTATATAGTTATAGCTTAATGTTGTACTTTACCATGTAAATGTATTATGACGTTGATTGTGTCCCATGATTCTGAATTCTTTTGATATATTGCCATTATGAGCATGACCAGGACTCTGTTTTTTGTAGTATTGAGATACCTAAATATTAAAAAAAAATAGATAATTATTTGTGAAAGATTTGACAAAAAAAAAAAAAAATAAAACAAAATTGGTTATAATATATTTGTACCGAATTAGTAGGTATCTATGTAATCTTAGTCTTATGTTATGTTGCAGGTATAAATACACAAAACTAAGGTATTTGTTTTAAATATAAATGAGGTCTAATAGACTATATAGGATATTTAATTACATTTTAAATCACGTTTGTATCGAATTGAAGCACATAATACACGTCTGAACTAACGTAGACGGATTAATCAATAGTAATGGAACTTGAAAACCTAAATTAAATATCCATTGATTTATAGAAACGGTTTCTTTTAAAAGTTTAGATGACACAAACATTGCTGAGTATAATAATTTAAACTAAACATGAATTTATTGATCTATCAATGATAATGTATTAAATTACAATAGTTTAAATTAAATAGTTTTTGTTGCCATATAAAATTGTGTTTTGTTCCAATTAATCTTCAAATATTGAGTCAGGTAGGTAATACAGAATAAAAATTATATTGACATTATTTTTGTAAATACAAACCCATGAAATCCTAACTTTTTTTTAAACGGGATATAGAAATAACAATAATTAAAGAAAGAATATCTTATAGTTCTTCGCTGTAAATTGAATAAAAAATGAAGACGAGAAGTACAAAACTCTTTGATATTTTTTAAATTACTTTTCATATTTTATAGTATTTTATTTTCTACACCATATTAGTCTCATAGAAACTCTAAGGTATTTATTTATTAAATTTGTATTATTTAATAATATGTATTTATTTAATAAAGATTGTGCAGAATATACGATTGGATTTCTTTAATAACTATTTTATTCCAATGTTGATGTTAACTTAATTAAGTATTAGCTTATAGTAAGGTTTTATTTCAAAATGGTTTCCACCATTAAACGTAAATTTACAAGACGTTAGAACAAATTTAACACAGTTTTCGACATTAATACGAAATCTCAAAAATAATCATAGTAATAAGACATATTTTAAGGGTGTTTTTTTATACTAACGTAAGTTGTTTCGGGTGGTACAATAAGGTACGTTTCGATGTTGTGGTCCTTTAGAAACGCATTCCGCTCGCCTCCGTTTCCTGGTTCCACTTGGTAAGCGTTGCCCAAATACTTGAGCGTGTCCGCAGTAATATGTATTCTCCTGTACCCCAAACGACAGTTTTCGTGGTTCGAAAAACTATATATTATATCGAAAGTGACAAAAAAAGCGATCTATCTTACCCGGGTATTCCGCCGCTTTCCATTTGATTCGCCAACGTCACGTCGTTCGACCACACGTCGAACTGCCATTTGCAAAGCCCCAGGACGCCGCAGTGCACGCGACCCGAGTGTATTCCTACCCTCATGTTGACGTTGACGTCCATCACATCCCTCACCAAACTAAACAGTAAAGCGGTATAAACATATTTTTTGGAAAAAACAATAATTCCACTTATGCGAGCCAACACTATATATAGAATTAATGTAGATTTAAACTCCTCATTACGAGGGTCTGCACTCACGTTATGGCGTCGATCATGTCCAAACCCATCTGGACGCAACAGTTGGCGTGGTCCGGCCTGTGCTCGGGCAGACCGCTCACACAGTAATAACAGTCTCCCAATAGTTTAATTCGCAAACACGCGTTTTCTTGAGCCAATCGGTCGAACCTATACACAAACCACCAATAGAACAACATAATCAATATAAACATCTATCGCTTTTCGTATCGTATCCGAATACTATATGGATTGTTATATAACGAGTAAAACTCCATGCAATTTTAAGCCGATACGGCGTTTTTCGTATATCACCTCGCAAACAGTTCGTTAAGTAGCCTTACGAGCTCTTGAGCTGTACACTGATCAGACAAACTAGTGAACCCACAGATGTCCGCGAACAAAATGCTACAATAGTATACATAAAAAAAAAAATATTACAAACACTTCGATTAAAACAATATATATAAGCTTAAATGCTTAATAGTTAAATTATTACATTATAAACATAGGTAGGTACGTTGTTGGTTATGAATTTAAACCAGTATAAGTTCCTACACGTAATTTACGTACAGTTAAGACAATTACCTTCGTATAATAGGTATTACTGATAAGTGTTAAACGTTACCTACGTTCAACACGTCTCATTATTTCGCAAGGGAATTATAAGAGTCAACGGTGGTTTATTGGTTTAACGGGCGAACACAATAGTTTTTGTGTGGACAGTGTACTGTTAAAATAATCACTATGCGTAGTATAGGTACGATACATGGCAAAAGCAGCACAATTAGGTTTTGTTATTTGCAATTTGCATGAGTATTTTACTCGCAAAATTTTATATTTTGGATTTCGTTTTAATTTATACTGAAATAACTATAATAACAAATTTGGCTTTCAAGTTTCAACATTATTTGTATATCATTCAGTTTTTTATGTTTTAAAACAAAGAACTGTACTATGCTAAAATAAATAAATTATAGTAGAAAACTTGAATAAAAGTTTTATAATGTAAATTTAAAAATAATAATTTTACTACATACTAACGATTTTTTTCTGAGAAACATACTATAATTAAATATTTAGGTACTTTTTTTTTTAATTAGTTACAAGTTATAACATAGACGGTTTTATATAGCTAACTATTTATTTACGACGTTAAATCGATAAAAAAAAAAGTTCTGCATTATTATAAAACATTAAGAGGACGTATCACTGGTATTTGTTGTCTCCGTCTTAGAAGTGCGGAACATAGCAAATGTACGCTCAACAGAACACTTGTAGCTTCGTTAGTTTAAAAATTAGAGTGAATTAACCTATTATAAAACTTGATGGTAAGAATATTATCTGTGTTTGTATGTTGGTTTTTTACGATAGTTCAATGTTTTAGCAAGTTATCCGTATATAATAACCGTAAATTAAAAATGCTCATAACTCACTTAAAAACTGAATTATTGTAAAAAACCAACGTACAAACACAGATAATGTTCTTACCATCAAGTCCTCTTAAATTAAAATGTATTTGATGAATGGAAAACCATAAAGAAATAATTCTTATACATATTATATAGTTTAATAAAATTTCTCTAATAATAAATATATCATAAGCGCCTAAGAACATGGCTGATTAATGATTATATATTATATGGTATAATATGTATTTTATTATAGTATTGTGATATGACTTATTTGATTTTCAGAAATTAGGATGGTCAATTTAAGCATAATCTAGCTATTTGAATTAAAACAAAATGTACTGATGTCTGATACGTAGTATATAGTTACATTGTATAAGACACGTAAAAATTATGATATTGTTGTATACTGCAGCAGTTTCCTACCTATTCTATTTAACTTCTGAACGACACTGAACGATGACAACATTATTATTGTAATATTTATGCGATGCACCGATAGTTATAGTGGCCCATATTTATAGAAAAATCAATTAAATTTTTATAATATAGATATATACCTGACATTCTCGTGCTTTTGTATATAAATCTTGTGGAACATGCTGTCATGGCGTTTACCGGCGATGTCGGCCTTCATTTCCATAGCGACATGCCGGGGCAGTACTGACAAAAGCAGCCTCTCCTGTTTTTAAAACACTTTGACGTGTGCATATATGGGACGAATTTTAAATTAATTTTTTTCTACATACCTGTTGTTGATTAACTTTTTGCGTAGTCAGTCTCGCCTGGACGCATTGTCTGGTCTCCAAGAATGCTTGTCTCTTTGCCACTTCGTTCGGGTAATGCATCATTACACCAGTCACGTTTGTGCACGCCAACAATAGCAAATTAATGAAACTCTGAAATTCGAAATGTATTATTTTAGGCTATATAATATACAAACAGCCAGTATTGAACTATTGTAACCCATAATTGAGTCTAAAAACCGATTGAGAAGGTCATTATAGCGTGTTTATTAGACCAGATTGTTATTGGTATTATTATTATAACGTATATAGAAGCATTCAAAAATATATGTATGATGAATCCGAGGATGAAGTATAGCACATATTTTTTATGCTCAAAACAACTATTAAATTTATACTTAAGATGAAAAAAAGAAAAAAAAAAGCTAGATGTATCTTTTAGTTACCTGTTTCGATATGCCGTGTTCCATAGACAGGGTGAATATTAACTGCGACAACATGAAAACAGTGCCGGCCACAATGGCATACTGCAACTTGACCGGCAGTAAACTGTAAGAAATGTAGACGAACACTAACGTGGGTACGGTGACGGCTTGGGATCTGGTCAGCACGCCGAAAGACAACTCGATCAGCAGGAAAGTGGCCAGCACCACGTAGGACACGAAACTTAGGTATACTTCGTTCAACCCGGACCGTGACACTATGCCTATTATGACTAGAGACAGAGTGCAGACCATACATTATACACGTCGATATAGTAACATAGTTAGGCGGGCATACATATTTTGCATAGCCTGTGGATCCGAACTTACCTAGGTAAATAAGTATACAACACAGCAGTAGCAAGGAACATTGAACCTGAGTCTCGTAGTCGGAAAGGACAACTGCTATGGCCATGCACGTAAAAAGTATACAGAGCAGCACCAACAAATGGACCATGTGGCTTTGGTTGGTTCGCAGAAAATATCTTTGGTAGAGCATTTCCACCTGTTAGTACAAATCACCCACGTGCAGTAGGTATAGGTAAAATGGGAGACTGCAGTACAATGTATATTTAAGAAACTTCTGTTGTGCACCAAGTAGATAATATTATATACAACCTAACCGTCCTAACCGTATATGATTAGTCGTATTATATTATGCACGTTTCAATTAATCATTTTATTATAATCAGTAATATTGTCTATACATAAATGCATTTATAGTCTCGTATATTGTTGACTCAGCAATATTCCAAGTTGAAACAATTTTCGCTTGAGTGTGCACTGCGTAGGAGAAAACGCTTTTGTTCGAATTACATGGTTATTATATTTTAGTGTGATGTGATTCGAGTTAGGATTAATCCAAAGACTACAATCACGGTTATAATAATTAAAAACCAGCATCATATTATTATGCGAATGATTTAACAGCGATAAATTATTCAGCTACATAGAATTCATATATAAATATTAATAACCTAGAGACTATCTTAGATATTAATCTTATAAGACGCAATACATATTAATTTTATCCTAAATATACAGTTATTATGTTATTATAATTTTAACATAAAATCCATTAAATATAATCCGATATACATGGTAACATAGAATCTAAAATTCCATGTCAACAATTATTATTCATTTTTTTTAACATTGAACAGATCAAATTAAAAAAAATTAAAAAAAAATGTTATGATACCTAATCCAACCTAACTGTGTATAGGTAACAAGACATCTGAAGGAAATAGTCAAGCAAACAATAAAATCGGTATAAATATCAAATACAATTTCCCAATCATAAAATTGCTTCCATCGTTATTATGAAAAACGACTTTAAAAATATTATATTCACGAATATCGTATGCACATTATTGAACTAAAGTAATTAAAATAGTACCTATAGTGCACTTAACTATACAGGGTGATTCGCCAAGCATGCTCGCCCCCATTTTTCCTTTAATAATAAACTTATTTAAATTCTGATTTTTAAAACTTTTAAATGTAATAAAAGACCATAATATTTTAAAATTAATGAATTTTTTTCCACTACCTACTTAAGACGTGTCCTGTGACGATACAAACTTCTGTTTTTCAAATGAGAACCACAAACCTTTTGGATACTTTTTTGAAACATGTTGATGAACCTAATTCAAAATTCGAATGAATAGTTTCTTAGTTATTAAAATGTTATTTCTATTAAGAATAATAGTCCTTAAAAATGGTTATACATAAATATAAAATAGTTATCTATATGTTACTATAAACTTTGGGCCATTTTTACAAATTATGAATATTGATAGATTAATACCATAGCCCCTCCATTTCATATAAACCCAATTACCATAGACCTTTTACTCTTAGATAGATAACACAAAGATAAAAATTAAAAAACTATTTGTACGAATTTTGATTTTGATATGTCAACAATTTCAGAAAAATGATCTACTGAATAATTTATAGTTGAATAGTGGTGTTCTCCTTTGAAAAACAGAATTTTGATCTCACAGAAAACTTCTTAAGAAGAACAAAAAATCTCAAGAATTTAAGAATATGGACTTACAGTAACTATGTTTAAAAATTAAAAAATCATATTTTGAATATCTACATTATTGAAGAAAAAATTGGTCAGCATGCTTGGTAAATCTCCCTGTAGATAAAATCAAGCTATTCTCTGTTGCCCTAAATATTATTTTAAAGGTGAAATTTAAATTAGCCAAAAATAACTTGTCCTTTTGGACATAGGAACATCTATATGGGTTAAATTAAATTATTGTAATTTTAGCTAAATAATTTATTTTTAACTCGGGAGATTTAAAAAAGTTTAATCGACTTTTGTTGCTCATTAATAATTAATATGCTGCTTTGTTAGTGAAGTTTATTCATAAGAATTGTAATTTTTATGGAAAAAAAAGTTTTCATAAAATATTCATTGTAGGTGATATTAATTATTGTACCTGTGTAGTATTTACATAAATTTAGCCACCGGTCGAGTAACGAGTTTGGAGTTAAAATATTAAAATGATAAATAAATTTGCTGACCTGTAAGTTGTTGAACTGATGGGACGAAGTCAACAGCGTGGTGATCTTTTGGCAACATCCGAGCTTGGAAAAATCGCGTAGAATGTCTCCATTGTCGTCCGACAGGCCGGGCACGAACTTGTTGTTGGGCGACAGCGAAACCCTTTCGCACGCGTCTGGCTGCTGATCGGATTCCGAGTAATTGACTGTTTCGCTGGCTCCTCGGCTCTTTAACAGAACATTTCGTTTTGCCAATTCAATATATTCACGTCACAGTCGACGAGACGACCGCGACGGGAACATAATACACGACTAAGTAATATATAATAATAATAATATAGGTATTAATTAAAAGCTGGTTCGTATAATACTTTATAATATGTATATTGTTTCTTGCAGAAGCTTACCGCGATTCTCACGGCATACGATTACCACCTACATACCAGGTACACAGACACTGCACACGTCCTCAACCTCTCAGCCATATTAACCATATTATTCTGCGTAGGTATCGTGTGCTCCAGTCGTTCGTGTTCGTTCTGAACGTGCAGGAGGATGACAGAGTGGGCCGGGAAGTAATTACACAAGTATTACATATATAGGTAAGCGACACGCGCATATTAGCTGCTCCGTTCACGGCGAAGGTAATTTTATTGTGTTCATTCGTCTGTGCCCTATTTATGAGTAATTATTGTTTTTGAATACATAATCGTCTAAAATTTTAGTTGGTATAATGATGATAATAATATGTGCCACAACAATTACGCCGTTTAAAATATTAATTATCGAATCGAGCGCGGTGGCCTTATGTTGAAAAACTTGAAACGTACATTAAGACACGCGGCAGTCACTGCAGATTTCAGAAGAATGCCAAAACAAAACGTTTGCTTATCAATACTAAAATAAATTATATTTAGATTACCATTTCACTACAACATAATATTATTATAATATTTGAGTATTAGATACTATAAGTACCTATGATACGGTAGCAGCTGATACAGGTGCCTACTAAGTTGCTGCTCGATTATTGTACACGATCGAGGGGTTATATTGTAACAGTCACTGATTAAGACTATAATATAAACTATACATAGTTATTCAAGTGTACATTATAGTTTATAAAAAAATACTTTAATAGACAGTTTAATTATCTCAATTATCAGATGAAACATTCAATTATTAATTTAAACCGGAAATGTAAAACAGTAAAATGTGATTTATATCTGTAAGTATAACGAATTACTATTGTTTTGTGTTGGCAGTTATGTTATTTCACTCATTATTATATTATATCAATCGTTTGCTAGATAATATTATAAATATACCCTCGTCAGTATCGACGCGTATTCTAAACCGCAACAGTTTAGTGTAATACAACGGGCCTTAGTGTAATATTTTATTAATATTATATTCGAATTAAAACTAATAATGGATAAAAGTATAAAAGATATTTTTTATGAAAAGTTTAGTGCACTTTTATTAAAAAAAGGGAAGATAATTGTTTTTATTTAAGCACTGAAAAATATAATAAATATATAAGTGAAGTTATAAATGCTAAAGCAAAAAAAAAATTAACAACGAAGTGATTACAGACGATTAAATCTATTTGACGTTATGGATATTATGGATAATCATAAACTAATCGTCCCGTTAAAAGCAGGTGAAACTAAAATTATTTACTATGTAAAGAACGAAGAACTATACGACATTATGTACGAAGCTCATATAAAAATTGGTCATGGAGGGCGAACCAGAATGATGAACGAATTGCAGAACAAATTCAAAAATATAACATATGAAGTTGTTATGTTATTTTTAAGTTTATGTGTAATAAATAAAACTTAATAAAGCATAAACTTATACTACCTAAACTTAAATATTAAAAAATTAATTTGTTCAACTATATTTATTTATGAATTTATTAGTTATCTATTTGATTATATATTATGTTGTCATTGTCACACATGTCAACATTCACTAAATAACTATTGTGCATGTCAACAAATACTGGTAAATGTCCGCATTGTGAGATATTTGAAATAATTAATAACATTCACCAAAATGATTAGTGAATGTCGACATACACCGGTGACTGTCAACATTTACTGCCATGCGGTCATACACCTTAACATATATAATATGATCAAACATTTAAAAAATATATCGTTTTCATAATTTGTTTTGTAAAATAAGAAATTCTTGTTTTACAAAATTCTTGTAGAATATACTTATACTTCAGAACGGTCTTTATATATAATTTTTCAATCTATTTGTTTTCTAAAACTGAGTTTGGCAAAATTATTAATTACTATAGAATCAGAAATTAAAAGTCAGTCCACTGAATAAGTTGATTTCATTTCTAATTTACAGAAAAAAGTTAAAAATTTAAATTTGTCGATTGTATTATTACTGTAATACACTAATTATTTTCAAAAATAAGATTAAAAATGAAAATTACAAAGAAGTTTATTAGGTATCGGGAGACAAACACAGTGAGGTATTCTGTACAACTAATAATAAACTTGTATTTAATTCCATGAAAGTGGTTAATTATATTATAATTTATATCAAAATCAAATCATATGGCTAGCTAGGTAGGTACAATAAAAAGTTAAAACACAAAAAATATATACATGACTATAAATAAATTAAATCTATTTTCGCTTATCATAATTATAAAATATTATTCGGAGATTTTTAAGTAGGCAGCTAAAAATTTACATCATTATATTGACATTTGGGGAAAAATAAATAAAACGTTGATGAATGAAGCAGAAAATTTAAATATGAAAACATATAAGGCAAGTATATGATAAAAAAAAAATTATTACAAAATCTGTAAATACAAATCAAGGTATTTTGATACTATATTTATTGTAAATATCCTTATGTTATTTTGTTATTTCATATAATTAATTCGGATTGTTGAAGTAAGTTTGTTTATGTTAAAATATTATTCTACTACTTTTATTATAC